GTCTGTCTATTTATTTATTTATTTATTTATTTATGTATTTATTTATTTATTTATTTATTTATTTATTGCTGTTTCGTTCCTAGAAGATAACAAGTCATCGAATATTGAGGCTGTTTGGTTAGGCTATTCTGCAGTTCTGTCATTTTGGGAAGAATAACACAACAAGGAGCATTATACCTTGTATTAAGTAGAATTTGCAAACATACCTTGAGTTTTCATTCAAATTTCACACATTTTGAAACTCAGCCTTTTGATGTTCCTAGTTGTGTGTGTATTTGTTTAAATATTTCTTGCAAATTTTTGCATTGCTTCAGAAGACACATTCTATCTGGCTCTCTCCCTCCTCAGATCACTAATATTTTCAAATTTCTAGCTGATTGAATTGGCTAGTACCCTACTCTCTGATACTAATACTAGAATTTAAGGGATTGGGATTTATTTTCTTCCTTAAATATTTCTAATCTTTTTTTTTCTTCCCATATTTCCTTGTCTCCCCGTCCTTCTTTCTTTACTTTAAACCTCTGGCTTGCTAAGAATATTATCTTAGTTCTGCTGAAAATGTTATCCATACTCACTATATTGTAGGTACTCAAAACTGGCCCCATTTCTCAACCCCAGATCTGCTTATGCATCCAAGGTTCATGTCAAGATGTCAGGCTGTATAGAAACAATGTTGTATAATGGAAACTTAAGAAGCCTGTGCTGCAGGGTCAGAAGACCAAGCAGTCATAAGATCGAATCCACGCGACGGAGTGAGTGCCCGTCGCTTGTCCCAGCTCCCGCCAACCTAGCGGTTCGAAAGCATGCAAATGCAAGTAGATAAATGAGTCGAACACGACTGGACAAAAATTGTCAAAGGGAACCTTTACCTTTACTAAGGACTCCCCCACCCCACGGCAAGGGTATTTTATAAAAATCAAAAATAAAAGAACCTTAAACATGGCCTGCTTTGCATGTATTTGTTCTTACTTCATGTGTTCTCTTTTATGTCCTTTTCTGGCTAATTCTACAAAATGTGTTTCTGTTAGTAAAACTAACAAAGCTTCCAACCTCTTATTTTCTTGCTTAACCTCTCTATCCCCTCTATGTCTGTTTTGTCTGTAGTCGTGCTGAGCAGATCCCTCCTTGCCTGACAAGTGAGTCTTCTCTCCCCTCTCCTTGGGGCACACCAGCCTTGTCCAGGAAAAGGTACTGAACCTTTTGAAGAGACGTGCTTTCTACTGCTTTATTTTGTTATCTTGTTCAAAGTGAAATCTGTTGTAGTCCTTGGCTAGAATCCTCTTGCACTGTGTGCAGAGCATAACACTTTTCTGTCACTTCCTGCGATCTCCAGCTTGCCATTGCACCAGGTAGAGAGCTCCCTGTTGCTTTCAGTAGAGTTTATGTTTGTGCAGAGAGGTACTAAATACTTCCTTGTGTAAGCTCCAAAGAAGCCGCACTGTTCTTGCAGTGGCAGCCATGTGTAAGTGGATGGAGGCAGCAGAATTCTGACCTTTGTTTGTGCTTCAAGAATTGTTAACTTACTGGACAATTAACAAATTTATACCTACTTGAATACCATTTTGAAATATCTGGACAAATACATACTACAAATTATTTCCTTTGTGGTGTTAGATATTGGCCCAGAATTGAGAAAGACAAAAGGTCTACTTCTGAATTGTGAACAAATTGTATTGATGCATGGCTATGTTGATTGACAGTAATGTTGCTCTCATGGCCAAATGTTGAAATACAGTGGTGCCTCGCTTAGCGAATGCTTCGTTTAACGATGAATTCGCATAGCGAGGGGGTTTCTGGGGGAAACTACTGCCTCGTATAGCGAGGCAGTCTATGGAGGAAACTCGCATAGCGATGTTTCCCCCATAGGCCCCCGGCGGGCGCTTCGGAGCGGCCGCGGGGAGACCTCTCCCGCGGCCGCTCCAAAGTGCCTGCCCTGAG